GCCATCGGTGGTTGCTATACTTGACGTTCAGTGTCCATAAGGTGCAGAGCAAGATCTACCTTCTCTTGATGAGGTTCATGAGGCTCAAAAGATTGAGCAGTGGATTCGAAGGCTTCAAGATGGGTTTGAGAATCCTGCATCACTTGCTGATGACTTGCCTTTCCGGCATTTGCATTCTCAATATCACCTCGAATACGGCCTTATTTATTTTGTGGGGACGAATCCTGATGATCATTTATGGCTAGTGGTGCCTTCTATCTTTATTTCACGGTTTCTCCATGCTTACCATGATTCTCCTGTTCTAGGTGGGCATATAGGACATCGTCGTGTAATTGAGAAGCTGTGCAGGTCTTTCTATTGGCCGGAGATGCAACATGATATTATCCTGTATGTGCGTAGCTGCATTTGGTGCCAAACTCGTAATACTCCCCCTCGGGCTGCAAAAAATCAATTGGAGTCAATTGCAGTTTCTCGTCTATTTGAGTTGGTGGCGTTTGATCTTATGGGACCTTTTCCACAGTCGACCACTGGCAATGAGTATGTTATTATTGCTTTTGACAACTTGACTCATTGGGTGGAAGTTGGTGCTTTTGCTAACACCTTTGCAACTGCTATTGGATACTTCTTCCTCAATTGAGTGGTGTTCCAGCATTCTTGTCCAGAGTGGATTCTTTTAGATAATGGTCCCGTATTTATGGCTGAGGCATTTCATGTTTTGATGTCTCAGCTGGGGATATGCCACACTTTCACGAGTGCTTATCATCCACAATCAGACGGTTTGGTGGAACGGCTCGTTCAGATATTCAAGGGGATGATTGTGAAGTATGTGAACTTTCAGCATTCGGATTGGGATGGTTATTTGCCATCTCTTCGGTATGCATATGTCATTGGGGTGCAGAGTTCTATTGGTGATTCACCATATAAACTCCTATATGGTCATAATCCAATATTACCAATGGAGCTAGGTTTACCTTTGCGATTGTCACAAGCTGTGGATGTTAGGTCGTGGGACCTGTATTTGACGAGCTTTCTTCCACTTGTCTGAGCAGAGTCTACCGAACACTTAGGCTGCGTACAAGTGGGACAACAACAGTGGTACAACTCCCATCATCGTCCATCTGCAGAGTACAAAGTGGATGATTTGGTGTTAGTTCGTTTTCCCCATCTTACGGTACGTGGTTTATCTAAGGGGCTCCTTGTGCAGTGGAAAGGAGCGTATCGGGTGTTGCGGCAAGTTGAACCACAAGTTTATGAAGTTCGGCATGACGTCTAGCAGGCCAATCCTCCAAAAATTATGCATATGCATGTAAGCAACCAAAGGGAACGACTCGAGAGACGATCCATGGGGTTCAAATATAGAGGGAAAGGGCCCATGAATAAGAGTGCACCCCCTTTTCCAATCGGTTAAGGGTCTTGGGATATTTGGGGTTAAGTGTCCTTGGGTTAGAATAGTACTGGGTTGGGTGACCTCCCGGGAAGTCCAAACTCAGGAGCTTACATTTGGTATCGGAGCGGTCTCAAGTCCGACTCTGTTGGTTGGCTAAGGGAATCACACCACATGTTGATTGACATCTGGCTGGTCCAGTTTGCTCCCGAGGGGTAGGGTGTCAAGAGAGCGGGGCTCTCGGGAGAGCTGCGGCTCTCAGCTTCCGTTCACGAGGGCGTGAACTTGCAGGGAAGCGTGGTGGATTGTAAGCAACCAAAGGGAACGACTCGAAAGACGATCCATGGGGTTCAAATATAGAGGGAAAGGGCCCATGAATAAGAGTGCACCCCCTTTTCCAATCGGTTAAGGGTCTTGGGATATTTGGGGTTAAATGTCCTTGGGTTAGAATAGTACTGGGCTGGGTGACCTCCCGGGAAGTCCAAACTCAGGAGCTTACAATGCAATGGTTGAAATGTTTTATACAAAGGGATCAAGAGCAGTTAATACCACCTATAGATCTACCGATGCCTCCTCCTAACGTTCCTCCAGATCTTGGCCCATCTACAAGAAACCCTAATGGTCTTCCATTTCTGGGAGGAGGGGATGATGTAAAGGCCAAGTGTATGGCTACGATACTATATACTAATATTAGCGTAGTGGGATTTTGGTAGTTGTCGGATTGGTTTCAATTTGAACCCTCGCTCCTGTATATAAGTTAGGGTTTTTGGGCTAATTGATATGCACATTTTTGTATTTCCTTTCCATATTCTAAGCACTCACAGAGCAACCCTTCCAGAAGAAACTTGACCCTTATGGCCATTCTAAAAAAATGTTATGAGTTGAAAGTAATTAATGGCTGAATTTGATAGTAGAGTTTTATATATTTCATAGTTTAAAATATGAGGTTCTATTTCAGATTTTTGGAAAAGTTTTAATATGTTTTGGGACTATGCTTAGATATTTTGGTATATTTTATATATATTCATTTAGATTATTCTTCTATTTATAATCTATAAATAAATTTATAATGTATAAAATTTTCTTAACGCTTCTAATTTATTCTAGCATCTAATAGTGGATATAAAATAAATTATAAATATATTTATAATTATAAAATTCAAATTAAAAACAATAAGGCACATTTTTTAGCTTAAAATGAAATCTATTTTTGAGTAAAGTTGGATTATGAGCACTCACAATATGGTTATTACAAAGCTATCTAATTAATTAAAGAAATGCACTTACATAGTTACTCAAAGAGTTTATTATAGAGTATTATATAAGGTCACTAGTCAAATATAAGCTTACAACTCTCATTAAATTTAATTTTGGCATATAATCATTGAATAAAAATGTGGCTTGTGTTTATGCCCATAATATGTGATAATACTTGTTCAGCTTTATATTAACTTCTCTTCTAGTAAAGCTTTTAGAATTTTTTGTTGAATTATATATTTATCAATTTGATTAATAAATAATTTAGAAAAGGTATAGATAATGTTTTGTAATTGACCCAAAGAGCTCCATCCACATTAAAACATTGATCTACCAACTTTTATTAACTTATTTTTAAAGTGTTATATATTTATATATATATAGAGAGAGAGAGAGATAGATAGATAGATAGATAGTTAAAATATTTTGGTTTGTTTAAAAACACTTGTAAGAGTGGATATATCTAAAATATACTTAAATATTCTAGGATATTCTTATTTAAATTAATTTTGTATTTATATTTATAAATATATATATTTTTTATAGCTATACTATTATTAGAATAGTAGAATTTTGATAGTTGTTGAATTTCTTTTAATTTTGACCACTTACTCCTATATATAAACTAAAGTTTATGTATGCATCCACTCATATTAGTGGAAGCTTTTATTGTCCTTAAGGTGTTTGCACCATGTAGGCGTGCCAAACAATTGCATTCACCCACATGTTTACAGAATATCCCAAATCCACCATATGGCCCATGTGGGCAAATCCTTCAAAAAACACAAGCCAAAAAGACCAACCAGTCAAATTAAATCCCCAGAATATCCCAAACCCACCATATGGCCCATTTGGGCAAGTCCCTTAAAAAAACACAGAAGTGGCTACAGCAAAGGAAGCTAGGCAAATCCAAGACTACTCATACTCAAAAAGACTAATCAGTTGAGTTAAGAGCCTCAATTTTATATTGCTGAATCCCACACAAAAGAGAATGAAGAAGGGCATTTAAAGGGGAGGGGATAACTTAGGGCCATTGTGTTTTCACTGGCCAGACACAAGACTTGTAGGATGGGGGCTCCAAAGTGCCAAACAAAATGCAATTACCCTTAATTACCTCCTGTCATACACCTTTGTAGGAAAGAGACTAAGAACACTTTTTTATCTTTTAAATTTGCTTAAAGCCACTACATTATCACTAATAGGTCGTGAAGCATTCTCTCCTACTCCAAAATTCTCCCTCAAAACCACTCAATCCTTAGAAGAAAACACCCTGAAAATCTAACTTTCAAGAACATTTTTAGATTTAAGATCATTATTCCAGGGCCACTATGTTGCCACCAGCAAGCTGTGGAATGCTTACACACAATCTTAAAGCCATTGTGTTGCCATTGGCAAGTTGTGAGATCTCTCTAGAAAATGCTCTCCATTCTAAAATTTACAAAATCATTATTAAACACATTTAAACACTTTAAGCCCAATTTAACTTCCTCTTTATATCTTTTATTCCTAACCAAATCTCTTAAAACTAGATTGCAAATCCTTACCTGCACTTTAACCAAATCACAAAAAGAAACGAATCTCCTCTTTTGCCCTAGTGCCACATAAATTAAAACACACTTTCACATGGTTATATTAACAACCTCAACTCTGCTTCCCAACTACTTACTGCAGATGTGCTACTAAACTCTAACAGATATTTTCTGGAGGTGGCGTGACAGTCTTAAGGGTCGCAAATATTCAATTTAGTGGTAACATTCCAAACTGGATATGGAACATGAAAAAGTTACAGGTACTTGATATTTCAAGTAACAATTTCTTCAGGCTAATTCCGACAATTATCGATCTCTTCAGCAATATGAAGATTTTGGAGAGGCGGTGCTATAAGCAGCAAGATACAGGCCGTGGTCTTGGCAAACCCCAACGACAAGAACTCGATCCTGCTCATGGGGAATCCAGGGATTGGAAAGACTGAGTTTCTTCTATAAGTCCTTGTGGATCTAACAGCGACTCTTTAGGACCAAAGGCGGAAGCCTCTCGATTACCACAGCTAAGCTACGACGATGTGAACCAGGATCTAGACCTATGGGTCCTTTGCTTCCTAGCAGGTCTTCTAGCTTTCACACCAGCGAAGATGAATCACAAAGGATTTGAGGAGTCGAAGATGAGTCCAGTGAGATTGCGCTCCTCAGGCAGGAAGGCTTCCCAAGTAGCAATCTGGATGACGTAAAAACGAAGGGGTGGCATACCATGCAGGAGGATGTCGATTGTAAGCTATTGGAGGTGTATCGTCTGTTTCCTGCAAGGACAATTGGGGAGGGTGCTTGACTTGCTCAAGCCCATTCATGAACAAGCCAAATAGTGTGGGGGAGAGGGGGATCCCTGTCTGACTCTAGTATATTGAACATTTTCTGGTATCATTGTGGAGGAGGAGACCTGACAATCACCAGGCTCATAGGCGCATTGTTTGGGGGAAGCCCAAGCTTGAGCGGGAAGATCTTGCCGCTGGCATCGTGCCTAGAGCAGACGAGCACCTCTTCGCTCGGATCAAGCCCCAGCTCCTCCTTGATCGCGGTGGTGAGATCCGCGAGAGTATTACCCCCGTGGAAGTGAAATCTGGGCCACTCCTTGCAAGGAACTGGAATGGTCTCGCTCTTGTCCCACACCACCGCGTAGCGGATGAGCCTCCCCTCGGATTTGGGGATCTTGAAAGAGAGCTGGGGCGTCGCCTGGCACAAGAAGAACACAAGGATTCCATCGATCGATCGTGGAATTGGCAGGGACCTCTTACCGAGAAGGAGCTCTTGGATCGCCGGTGGTGTTGCTGCTGGTGTTGGGTCTTGGATTCGACCACCTCCACCTCCCAGAGGAGCCAGCTCTGGGTCGCAGATCTCACGGGCACGTCGTGCGTGACCGAGTTCCTCCATGGAGGAATCCCGCCATTGCCGCGCAGGAAGTTGCCATGGCGCGTCTTGAGCTTGACAAAAGAGCCTACCTCGCCCGCCGCGATGGGCTCCCACTCCACCAGCGATTCCAGCGATTGATTGCCGCGCGCGCTCTGCAACACCTTCTTGCCCGTCATTCCCAGGAGGAAGTGCTCGTCCGAGGCCGTGAGGTAGCAGCCCAGCGCGCTCTTGAGACGGACCACACCACAGTCTTCCCCAGAGCTCTCGGCGATCTCCACCTCCCACACCGCCATCTCACCGGAATCGCGCTCCTGCGACACGCCCACCATGTCTTCCTCGGCCCACAGGTACTTCCCGTGCGAGCTCCTCAGCCGGACCGTCTTCGCCTTCGCGAAATGCTCCATAGCCGATCGATCGCTGGCGCTGCCCTAGCGAGATCGCGCCTGCTTAAGCTTGCGCGCAAACGCGTCGCGGAGTGGAAGGAAGGAACAAGGAAAATCTCCACTCCTTTCTTCCAGATATTAGGGTTCTTGGGCACGGCGAAAACACGGCATTTGGCATGGGCGGAGAGGATTTGTCCTGGGCGTCTGGGCGAGCCTGGGATCCCCCACGCCACTTTCCTCACCATCCCTCCCACCGCGAAGAACATCTTCTCCTGGGCGCTCATGCTCGGGCCGACCAAGCCCGCGAGATCTTCGATCAAACGCCGCTCAGTCCGGGCACTTGCAAGCCGCCAAGGAGATTTTCAACGCGAAGCCCGAGTGGGATCTAGTGCTGCGACCTCGACGAGGCGATGCGCGCGCTGGAGCGCATGGAAGAAAGAACCCTAATCGCCGCCACGGCCATGCTCAGCGCATATGGCCGGCACGGGCATCTCCACCAGGCAAAAGGAGTGTTTGATTCGATGTTTCCTGGAACGCCATGATAACCGGGTACGCCATCAACGGCGAGCTTGCTTCCGCGGAAGCAGTGTGGACGTAGCTTCGTGGAACTCTATGCTTTCGGCATATGCCGCAGGGCATTTTCTACAAGCTGAGCGTTTGTTTCGTGACATGAGGTTCATGATGTAATGCCATGCTGGCTGCGTATGGGCAGCACGGGCAATTGCAAAAGGTGGTGGCAGTGTTCGGGAATGCTGTTTCTATTTGTTTTGTTCTTGCAATCACTAATCACTTAGACCTTGAAGTTGAGTAGATGGATGTCAATAATGCATTTTTCAATGGCAAGCTAGAGGAATTGGTGTATATATAGCAACCTCCAAGTTTTGAGATCCAATGTTATATGTATAAACTCTAATAATCCATTATGGATTAAAACAGTCACTAAGGATTTAGTATAATACTTTGCAGAAGTTTTTTTCTAACTTTTGGTTTCTCTTGTGCAGAAGTAAATTGGAATGTATGTTATTGTTTTCATGATGGCTCATTTATTCTCGTGTGTGTTTATGTTTCGTCATGGCCGGAAAGACAACAAATCTTAAATGGCTCAAAGAACAACTTTCCAAACAAATCTTGGTAAAATTTCCTTTTGTTTAGGCTTATAAATGAGTTCTAAAGATAAATATATCTCAAATCTTATCAAGAAAAATAAAATCTTAATATTTACCCTAAAAATGTCTTTGTGCAGATCAAGGCAGGTGGCATGGCGGAGATTGTCGCAGCACCACCACTGCTGCATGATCCGGAAGATCTCAAATGCCCTGGTGTGATGCCCGGTCTGGGCATATCCCGAGAAGTGCCGTCACCTCAAGATCATCCCACTGCCGCTGGATCCGCAAGTGCATGTGCTCACCGCGGTCCAGATTGCACAGTGCTAAGCAGGCGGCGAGAACCGTGGAGAGAACAAAGGCATTGCACAGTTGCCTCCATTTGGTCAAAGAGATCCAGCTGATATCCTCGTGTAGAACTCTCCATGGGGAATCAAAGAGGTTGAGGAGACACTGTTAATTCAAGTTTAATTCGTTCTTTCTTGGAATTTGTGTTTGTGTTCTTCCAGGCATGAATGTGTTTGTGTTCACTGTTCGATCCTCAAATTCATAGAAAGGTGATGGATGAAAAACCTCCTGTGTAGAAGCTGCTACTTCTGGTCCAAAGCTGCCATGAAGGCTTTACTTAATATGCACGGTGGTGGGATTAAGAGCCCGTGAGCATTCTTGCTCGCTAAAGATTTCTAGGCACAACGATTAGACGTGTAGCTCGCACCAGTATAGCGAGCATGAGCTCATAAGTCCCTTGCATTCCTCTAATCGACCGGATCTAGAAAGAGCAAAGACGAGAAGAGACGAGACAATTCCAGGACGCGGTATCGCACTCCGGCATCGCATCAAGGACGCTCCTAGCCTCGTGAAGATGCCCTTGGCGGGCATACACTCCCTCCAAGAGAACTGGTCCTTGGGCGCGATGGAATCGAAGACACTCCTCGCCTGCGAGATTCTCCCGCAATCTCCATGACGAGAAAGAACACATGATCTGGGATTGATACCAGATCGAATGCTACCAGCTTTCACTCAAAGTGGTTTACTTCCATGGAAAGTATATAAGACGAGAAGCAGTACGGATTACGTAGGTTATTTGCTCTCTCTATGTCTCTCTTCCTCTCTCTCCTCTGTGCTGTTCTCTTTCCCTTTCAATGCATATTGGGTGATGGCTGCCGCCATTCAATTGCATTCTCTGGTGTGAAGCAGTGCTCTCACACTTGTACAGAAGGCCCCTTCACAGTGGTGTTGGAGACGTGGCATGGGAAGCAATAGCTCGGATGGTGTCACGGCGGGAGTTACTAGCAGAGGGGAGGGGCGAGAAGTGAGAAAGCGCATCAATTCTTGGCTGCTGTTGTTCTAACGGAGATTACTTGTGCTGTATTAATGGATAACATCCAAGTCTTTCGGCCATTCTCCAGGGTTTTTGGCAGGATAAGGCCGAGCCCTCCATGGCGTCCCCATTGTTAGCTGCTCTCAAATCCATAGCAAGGTCACTCTCTCGAGGATCGCCTGGACAAGTTCCTCGACGCGAACATCACCAATCACCAGGTACAGCTCGACAGCTGCTATTCTTGCATCTTGATGATGCACGTTCCGCGTTGCTAACTATGCCCGACAAAGATCTGGTCGCGTGGAACGCACGATGGCGATTTGGAAGAGCTCGACCGCCTCTTTTAACTAATGCCCCTCTGGAACACAGTCTCGTGGACAGCTTTGCTCGTCGCCTACGCTCAAAGAGGCTACGTCGAGAAAGCCAAGCTGGGACCTCGTCTGCAACAATGCGCTGCTAAACAGCTATGGCGAGAGAAAGCCATCATTTTCTTTCAGGGGATGAAACAGCGGGGTCGTCCTGGAACTCGATGCTGGGATTAATGATCCATGCCGGAGCAAGACCTTTTGTCTTACAATCTCCTGCGCACAACCGGGCTCGTCAGCTCCCGCAAGGAAAGAAAATCTTCGACAAAATGCCTTACCCGTGAACAACATCCAGGGCGCCTATGCACACCACGAGGACGTCTCTCGGACAAAGAGCCTGTTTGATGCGATGCTGTCGAGAGAAATCACCTCCTGGAACATAATACTCTCGATCTTCTGCGCCACCTTCCAGCTCGAGAAAAGCACTTGAAACGCTGTTTGATTCCATGCCGGAGTTTAATGTCGTCTCCATGCTCACTGCCTACGTGAGCTTCGGTCATCTCGAAGAATCCAAGAGCTTGTTCGATAGGTCCGAGACAAGCACCAGATTGCCTGGAACGCAATCAAAGTGTGCCAGAAAGTTTGACCTTCAAGGAAAATCCTTTCTCGATTTAAGGGTTCTTGGGCCGGGCGAAAATGCGGCATTTGGCATGGGCGGAGAGGATTTGTCCTGGGCGTCCCGCATCAGATCGTGTCACACACTCTTGGCCGCCAGAGACCTCCACTCCCGAATCCTCCGCCCATCGCGCTACGTCTCCAATCTCCTCATCGAGATGTATGGACGGCTGGGCGAGCCGGGGATCGCCCACGCCGCCTTCCTCACCATCCCTCCCGCCGCGAAGAACATCTTCTCTTGGGCGCTCATGCTCTGGGCCTACGCTCGCAACCACAGACCCGACCAAGCCCGTGAGATCTTCGATCAAATGCCGCTCCACAACCTCGTCGCCCACAACGCGATCCTCTGCGCGGCTGCCCAGTCCGGGCATTTGCAATCCGCCAAGGAGATCTTCGACGCGATGCCAGAATGGGATCTAGTCTCACACATCACACTGCTGCGATCGTATGCCGAGGGGGAGAACCTCGACGAGGCGATGCGCGCGCTGGAGCGCATGGAAGAAAGAACCCTAATCGCTGCCACGGCTATGCTCAGCGCATATGCCCGGCACGGGCATCTCCACCAGGCAAAAGCAGTGTTTGATTCGATGCCCTGGCACGACCTAGTTTCCTGGAACGCCATGCTAACCGGTTACGCCATCAACGGCGAGCTTGCTTCCGCGGAAGCAGTGTTTGCCGCCATGGAAGAACGGGACGTGGTTTCGTGGAACTCTATGCTCTCTGCATATGCCGCGAGTGGGCATGTTCTGAAAGCCGAGCGTGTGTTTCGTGACATGAGGGTTCATGATGTTGTTTCTGGAAACGCCATGCTGGCTGCGTATGGGCTGCACGGGCAATTGCAAAAGGTGGCGGCAGTGTTCCAGGGAATGCTGGAGAGGAATCTTGTGACGTGGAATCTCATGCTGGTTGCGTATTCGCAGCGGGGGCAGATCGAGATGGCGCAGTGCACGTTTGATTCCATGCAGCGATGGAACGTCGTGTCCTGGAACGCGCTACTCGCCGCTTACGCCAAGAACAGCGGCGATGATCTCCAGTGGAGGCGCGTCTTCGACTCCATGCCGCAGCGCAATCTCGTGTCGGTGAACGTTTTGCTGTGTGGATTGATCAGCGCGGGGCAGCTGGGCGAGGCCAGGATGGTGTTCGATGCCATGGAGGAGCGCGATCTCGTGTCCTGGAACTCGATGCTCTCGGCGATGGCGGCGCAGGGCGACGCCCGGGGGGCCAAGGAGCTGTTTGACGAGATGCACGAGCGCAATCTCTCGTCGTGGACGGCGCTCATCTCGGCGCAATCCCACACGCGCGCGCTGGATTCGTTCCGGGAGCTCCAATTGGAGGAGACCCCCGACGCGGTCGTGTTCCTGGTGATGCTCAATCGAGCGTGCAGCCACTCGGGGGGGATCTCCACTGGGCTGGGCTTGCTGAGGAGCATGAGCGCGGATTTTGGGCTGGATCCGAGCAAGCGCCACTACTCGTGCGTGATCGATCTGCTGGCACGAGGGGGATTCCTTGGGTGTGCGCGGGATTTGCTCGGCAGCATGCCCTTTGCGGCCGACGCGGTGGATTGGCGATGCTTCCTGGCCGGATCAGGGGATGGATTCGCCAAAAGAACCGCTGTTCTTGGCATGGATTCGTGGAGCGCTGCCTCGTACGTGCTACTGGCAAATGCGTACTCGTGATTGGATCTATCAAAATCGGAAATTTTTTTTTCCTCTCCAGGAGATTGACAACAAATTTGATTTCTTTTTTCAACTCCTGAGCTAGAACAATCACAAATTGATATTTTTCCGAAGGGAACATGAAACGAACATCGATCTGGCATAGAAAGACTACAAAATTTGGATCGGCGCCGCCAGTCGAAGCGATAATTTGGGCCTCGATCTGGAAGAGGTGCTCCAGCAGTCCTTGCAAAATCAAAACAAAGGATGTTGTCATGAATCAGATCTAGGTAGCTTAAAAATCCCACTCCAGCCACGCTCAATACTGTCCATTGCCGGATCCGGGGTCGGAGGCACAGAGAAATCCTCACAGATCAAAAATTGCGAAAAGCTAGCACCGAATTCCAACAAGATCTCGAGTGAGGTATTGGCCTGCTGGACGGCGAGGCGAGGCGATGCGAGGAGAGAGAGAGAGAGAGAGAGAGAGAGCGAGAGCTCTCAATCAAGATCGCGAGCTCGCCACCGGCCAGCAGGCCAACGCCTGCCTCAAAATCTTATGTGTGTGAGGCGCGCGAGAGAGATTTCTCGCTCGCTCGCTCGCTAGACAATAGATTAGATTCGCAATGGACAAAGAGCCAAGAAGGAAAGAAACGAGCTAGCCACACATTCTCAAGAATGTGGAGCCTTATAAAGGCCTCCATCCATGCCATGCATGATGCTTCGGCCATTGGACAGAATATCTCTGTTCCGGCGGTAGAAACGTCTTCCGGCAAATAATCGCAATGCATTCCGGCGGTCCAGAAATATTCCGGCAAATGATCTCTCTTTCTTTCCTTCTCAAGTGGATGTACCCGAGAGAGACAAGGCATTGTTAAACAAGAGTATCACGAAAGCCTTGCCTTTGCTTGACTCGTCTTTTCGTCTCAAAATTCTCGCTTCCCCGCGCCGCATTGCAATGATCGAGAGTGCATTCCCCCCCCCCCACTTTGATCCTTATAAAACTCTGCGAGGTAAAAGGAGGGGTCGTCAGCAGTAGCAACAAACAGTAGTGAAAGAGAATCAAAAGCTTAAACAAAGACAAACCGTCTTGACTTTCTCACAAAAGCTGCTGGGAAAAGTCGAATGCCAGTCCAGCCAGCATCGCAGCAGGCCCCATGGATCGGTACAGAGAATAAAAAGTTACCAGGGACGAGCAGGAAAACAACGAAACCGGAGAAGAAAATCGTCCCTTTGGCCACATGAGCTTTGATTCTCAGCTACGGAGCTTAAGTACAAGTTGAGCGGTGGATGCAACATGGCCAGCAGCGGCTTTCTTCGCAAGTAAGGAAGAGCAGCGCTCGTCTGCATCCAAATCAAATCAGCGCTCAGAATTTAAAAAAAGTGGAAGAATACACCAAAGAGGAACACGAGAACCGAGAAAAAATGCCCCCACCTGCATGTGAATGCGAAGACAAGCCCGTGTATAGTTTTATCTCAGCTTGCCCTTCCCTGCAGGTCACATCATCATTCCGGAAAGCAAAGGCGATCACGATACTCTAAGCTTGCTCTAAGGGAAAAGAAAAAACTAAATTACAGGCATCCACCACGTACCCTGTCCGTCAAAGAAACAAGCTGAAATTGTTCTTTGATGCCGCGGCTTCGAACTCGTTTACCATGTCGTCGGTGAATTTGTCCGCAAACAGCTCCTCTATGGCGGAAGGCGTCAAAGCAAAGGAATTAGCTTGATTTGCTGGCGATGACGCCACTAAACAAGTTGTCAACTCGTCCAAGCTGAGTACGTTGGCCACGAGCTGCTTGGTTGTACCGCTTGCCCGACGTACCAGGCCCTGCAGAAAAGAAAAGTTTGGAGAATCTTTGTATAATATTAGGACCGGTACCTGAACGCTGCTGCACATTTTCGCTTTCGATTCTTCGTCAGAGGGAGACTTGCCAACGTCCAGAGTCACATATTCTGCACCGATCCCCAGAGCTAAGAGCGCCTGCTTGTAGCAAGGAAGAACAAAAAAAAAGAAAGAAAGGAAAGGTAGCTCAAAACTTAGCCTGGAACTCACGAGCTACCTGATGCATAGAATATATAATCAACGCAATACGAGCTCCCATATCCTTGAGTTTGCTGGCAGCTCTCAAGCCCTCATAAGTTGCAGGGATTTGTACCTGGAGACAATATCTTCAACTAGCAACGACAAAAGAAAGAAAGAAAAAAAACGAATAAAGTTGAAAGAAGGCTTACCACGACTGAGCTGTCAATGCTGGCGAGCTCTGAGGCAGTACGCAGCAGCGCGTCCGAAGATTTTCCCCAGGCTTGCAAGTGTATCTCTTTTGCCCCCTGGATTGCATGTGTATCTCTCAAGCCAGAAAAAAAAGAAAAAAAATCGATCACACAGATGATCAGGAAGGACGCGGTGTAGTATAGCAGTTGATAAAAGAAAGCAAGAAAGAAAACCTTACACCTTACCAGGCGAAGTGCTTGGTTCGAAAGAACGCCGATACTTTTAGTTTGACATGCTACATTTGATTCTCTGAGGAGCAACGGATTTGTTGTAACCCCTGAATAGAACATAGACTAGACTCAAAACCAAAGAAGAAACAAATAGAAGAAAACTATGGATGGATTACCGTAGAAAACGCCCGTTGGAAGCCATTTCTTCCAAGCTTGAATGTCCGAGGAATCCACGAACAAGCGCATCGATCCACTGCTTGAGCTGCCACATTCTCGATCTTACAACCGATAGACCGATCGCAAGAAACACTCACCTCAATGACGCCATAGGCACAGAGTAGCCCTAAATTTTGTGAGATTGCTGACTTTCGTTAATGCCATATATATCTTACAGTGGAAGAATTCTGAGAGAACGAGGAAGATTGGTGGTAAGAAAATGGAAACCTTTGTGCTGTTAGAAGGGCAGTGCATTGGCAATCTTCATTGGCAATTGCTACTGCAATTTAGTAATATATTAATCCAATTGATCAATTGGAAATTTAAGATGGTAAAATAAACTAGAATATACTAGGAAATTATAAAAACTTTTATATATTATAAATATAAAAGAATATTAAATGGTAAAATATCCTAGAATAATCAAATATATTCTAGATATATTCACTACCACCCCAGTATTTTCTTAAGCAAACTAAATAACAAAAACCACTATAAAAAGTTTAACAATAGTATACACTTTGCTTGCAATGATAATATTTTGTTTTTCTCATGCAAGATCACTTCAATAGTTTAGTTTGGGAGTTGATCTTGGAGCCTTGCTAGTGCTAGAATTAGGGGTGGAGTTCAAGCAGATGGAAGTACTAATGTTGGAGCTGATGGAGTTGGAATTATTGTTGGAGCTAGAGTTAATCCAGGAATTTTATTACAATTTAGAGTAGTGTGCTTGTAGATGTTGTCCAATAGGAATTATCTAAGCAGGAGCTGGGAGTTAAGGAAATCACTTTCTAGACCAGGTATACTGCCCAACATTTGCTTGTGAACATTAGCTAGAACTTAAAAAAGAAATACCTTGCCACAAAAGTGGGTGGAATCTGCTTTAAGCAGCATCAACAACAATAACAACAACATGACAATAGTAAAATTTTTCCAGACTATGGACACATGCTTGGACTACCATCAGATTTTTTATTATGATAATATGCCCTAATCTCACTTGCTTAGTAATAATAGAAATTTTATATTAATATATATCTTGGTTTATGACTAAATATGCTAAACATGTGAATGCATGGAATATGAAAAAGGAATACAAAAATGTGCATATTAATTAGCCCAAAAATCTATCTTCTATATAGGAGCGAGTGGTCCAAATTAAAACTAATTTAACAGTTATCAAAATCCCACTATGCTTATATTAATATACAGCATGGTAGCCATACATTAAATCTCACATCATCCCCTTCTCTAAGATCCATTAATGCTTCCTCCTAATGTTTTTTTAGATCTTGGCCGTCCATCAGAGAACCTTAACTATTTTCCATCCTTTCAGGTGGTGTTAATTGTTCTTAATCTCTTTATACAAAGTGTTTTAGCCATTGCACATGCACAATGTTTAGAGGATTGGCATATTAAATGTTATGCCAAACCTCATAAACTTGCAATCCACTGTAACATCTAATATGATCCCTTCTACTAAAGAGCCCTTTAAACAAATCATATACCATAATATTGGGAAAATAGATTAACATTTAGTCATCCATTTTGTACTGATGGATGATGATGGGAGTTGTAATGCCATTTTTATCCCATTTATATATGGCCTAAATGTTGAGCAAACTTTGTTTGGACTAGTGAAAGAATGCTCATTAAATATTAATTCTAAAACTTAACATTAGTAACTCATGGCAATTGTGAAAGTAAATTCAACTCTATTAACAATATTAGATCATGACCATATAAGAATTTATACAGTGAAGTAGTAATAAAACTCACACCCCTATGACATACACACAGCAAATAATTATTCTAATCCAAATGTTGAAAATTCACAACTGGAAACTAACCTCATTTGTAACATTTGACAATACCTTATACAAACCAATCTAGACAGGCAAAGGCTGTGCATGTAGACATGGGTGTTTGGTCCTCTCTCCTGGAAGTATTTGCTGCAAATGAGGCATCCAAGTGGCATTCACAAGCTCGAGAGATATGCAGCGAGGGTGGTTCACTTGGAATGCAACCTTGTCTGGTAGTAGTAGCTGGGATTAGTTTCAGTTCCTGCGCCTTTGCAAAGAAGTTCATTTACCCAAGGAGGGTTCCAGTTTGAAAGTCTAACATGTAGCCTTTCGTAAGTGTGGAGTTCTTCCTCCCTTGCCTACAACTTTTCGTTGGTTTGGAGTAGATGAACTTTGCATTTGAACGTTGGATCCTGGGGCAGCAAGCCCCACTTGGCTTTGCACTGGGAATGCACTGGAGACGTTGCAGCTGGTGAGCATTGGAGCATTTTGGTGCACTGCTCGTTATTTATCTTCTAATGATGTCTGTTGCAGGCGGATGAGATATTTATCAACTGCATCAAAGAAGAGGGTCTTTACGACGAGATTTGGCGAGCCTTTGCTGTATCAGATCGGTGGGTGTTCAAGGAGACAGGAGGACGCATGCTCATCCTATTGTATTGAGAGCCATCACCAGCGAAAATGGGATGACTGCCGACTGGTGATTTTTAAGCCTTCCAACTCCATTGGAATTATACTTAAGATCATATTTGGTGTTCGCAGCTACGAGTTCAACCACAAATTCTTGAAGGACGTGGTTTCCAAGATCTGCAACACCGTTAGAGGAGTAAACAGATGGTGTATGATATTACCTCCAAGCCTCCTGCCACACTGGAATGGGAATAACAGTAAGCAGAATTCAGCTTGATTTTGTTTTTCTCATCCTGAGCTCTTCAACAGAAACGAATTAACATCAGTCTCCATCCACTCGCCCTGAATGTGAGATCAGCCTCTTGATGAGTTGATGCCTTGAACGGCGGAGATCTCTGAAAAATGGTGCCATCGTCGAATTAGCTCCCTCGGACCTGAAACAGAGCCCCAACCTGTAGATCGCGGCCAGACAAACAAACACTGGAGACTCCATGCCATCAACCGGTAGCACCACACCTGATGCAGACGGGGCCAGAACATCAGCCAATTGTCCGGACGCTTCAAATCCGACAGAAGCTGCGAACTCCGAGTGGAGACGCTGCAATACAGTTATGGCGTCAGAAGCAGGACTTAGAGTTCCGGACTGTCACAAGGTGCAACTCCTGTGCGGGTTAGCGTTGGTGGGGATGGCGAAGTTGGGGGAGGATTTGACATATTGGTTTTAGGCTGGTCGGATGTAGGTGTAATGGCTGCAAAAACATTCATGGTGTAAAGAAATGTACATTAGATGTTCCAGTTCATGGTGTTTCCTCACTGATGGTATTGTTGAAATCCTCAGCAAACTGGGCAAGATATATTGGTAGCACACAAACTAACCTGGATGGTGACAAAGGGGACCAATTTTAGACCATTCTTGTATCATTCTTCTCAATGTTGCAGGCACTTAGTGCTCGCTCCATGGGACATGTGGGTGTATGGAGAATGGGAATACTTTGGCTGCCCTGGCCTTGTAAGCCAAGTAGAATAACATGTATTGCAGCTCTAAAAGCATGTAGCTCTTATGCTTGTGAAAATACAGAATCTGAAAAATTAGAATGTTTCCAGCAAGGAATAGCAATTCATAAGCAAGCTATAGCTGCTTCTGATATACTTGTGGCTATCAGTTTAATTGATATGTATAGCAAAAGCGAAAGCATGCTTAATGCTGAAGAAAATGGCTTTCAAAACATGTTATTACATGGTGTGCTTTGATGCATGGATATTTAAAGAACCGAGATGATTTAGCAGTTATAAAACTACTCAATCAAATTGATGAGGTTTAAATCTATCAACATTGATTGCTGCAATAAAGGCTTATTCAATACAGGCTTTGACTATTGGGCAACAACAACATGCCAAAATGTGTATATTGGAACTAACAAGAACAAACTGTAGCTACTATGATATTTTTATATGTGAAGTGTGATCAAATGTATCGTAGCAAAATGCATATTTAATAATATACAATCATCAATTACTTTATTTTAGACTGCTTTAATTGCAGAATACAGTTATTGCGGCTCGAGATACTGATGCAGATTTGGTGCTGGGTAAGGATTAAAGCTCAGTCATTTGTGTCATTTTCCAAAATTACTGCAATTATTTCAAATAAGCATCCCTCAAGTGAGTGACCATGTACTATAGGGTCAGTGTTTGGGGAAATTTCCCTTATAACATTATATAAGACTTGTGGATACTTGAATTGTAACATATTTTTAAAATCAACAAATAGTAATTGCTTTTAGGAGCAAGAGCAAATTAATTTTTAAATCTTCTATTATTCAAAGTTTCTACATCATGATCACCAGGAAGAGCTTTAAGGCTTTTTGGATATGATTTTACAAGGGTAAGGTAGTGATGATCTAGACTAGACTATTCTCCGTGCCTTGAATATGCTATACCCTCATTAAATGGCGTGGGGCAATTCCCATTGTGCTTTTACTAATGTATTCTTAAGAAATATTATGTATACTATATACATTTAAAATATATTATATGTATAATTTTTTAAACATCTTCTTAGTAAGGAATTAATTATATACAGATCAACAAAGCTAAGAAAGTTCTGCAGAGACTCTCTCTCTCTCTCCCTCTCTCTCAACAGCATCAATGGATCGATCAATCAGTATGCATGTTTGAGATTCACGAAGGCACCAAAACGTCTCCCTGAATTGCACGCTGCTCGAAATTATACAACTAACCCCTAGGGTTTTATAAATGGGGTTTAGGGTGTAGGGTTTATGGGATTGGGGGCAATGGGAAGCAGCGGTAACGAAATCTGGAATGTGTTGGTGCGACACTTCGATGAGGAGAAGGTCACGAAGGTCGTGGAAGCTCTTGAGGATGAATGCATCTACCGGCTCGACGACATCAAGGATTTCACTCTCGCTGAGCTCAGGGACCTGAATGTCCCAGCTGGAATGGCAAAGATGCTCCTACTCGAAGGCACGCTCTCTCCCTCGGTAGTTTTCTGATGTTTTCATGCCGGCTTGTGTCTGGCAGGAAGGAAAGAGGCGGCCTTTACACTCCGAGGATCGCGGGTTGCCTACCTTGGGTCCGAGGCGTACGATCGGGTGATGAGCCGCTGCCCCTCTGATATGGCAAACCAAATGATCACCTTCACCATTCAGGAGCAGATGTCGGACACCAAGCCACCTGCACTGTTAAACTACCGTCCAGACACCGCTCGTGGTCTGCCGATAGCGCTCGTCTCTCCGGTCTTTGCCTACTTTCTGGACTTGTGTGACAGCCTCGAACTGACGCCCACGGCCAAAGATTCTGCCTTTGTCAACGAGCTGTGTTTGAAGTCTTCCATGGCCTACGTTGATGAGGCGAAAAGGTGTAAGATGCTGTTCGCTTTGCTGCGAGCCTATCTTCCGTTGGAATTTTTGGTTGACGAGGTCGGCAAGAAGGACATCGCGATCCTGTATCAGCGGCAGCTGCTAGCTATATGCCAGGTCAAGAATGAAGAAGGCTTTTCGGGAAATGCCTACCTGGAAGCAGGCGCGTACGTACTAACACTCCATGTATTTCCTTTGCTCTTTTCTGATATTTTCTCCGTGTTCGTGGTCAGGTACTACGTGAGAGATTTAAGCGACAACCGCGATGAGGTTATGGTGCGCTGTGAGCGGTACCCGGTGTTCCTGCTGGAGATTACGGGTGCACTGTTGAAAGTCTCGGGCGCAGCATTTGCTTCCTGTCCTCTGGTCGAGCCGCTGAAGATGGGCCTCTTGGTGCGGAGGACAAACCATAAGGAGATGGATGCTCTTTGCCGGATGGTGGTCGCTTTGCGCAAATCGCTCTTGAAGCTCGTGTCACTTCGAGCAGCAGTGATGAGGCGCCCGGCGGCAGAGCTGGACTTGGCAGCGGTCGACCTTCCGTATCCATTGCAGGAGTTTTATTCCACAGGTGGCGGTGTCATGGTGCTGAGTTTTGGAAAGCTTTACGTGCTGGATCTGCAGCATAGCCGAGATGTGCTGCCGACGCCTTTTGAGCAGATCAAACGCAGCGGTGTTACCAAGATCCTGGCCAAGTTCTGCCAGCGGTACGGGAGTCAAGTTCACGCCGACTGGTTCTCTCGTGGCTGTACTCCGAAGCTGTTCAATACCATGCGTCTGAGCGGGGACTGGCTCATGGTGCTCATGGAGTACATGGAAGGCTACACCGACCTTCAAAGGAAAACTAACGTCTTTCCCGTTTCTTCTGCCAAGTGGAACAAGATCAGTAGTCTGGCTCGCAAATGCTTGAAGGATGCCCAAGCATCCACCCTTCGTGGCGTGCACGGCGACCTCAGGCTTGACAACCTGCTTGTCGATGAAGGCCTGACGCACGTCCTGGCTGTTGACTTCGAAAGAGCTGGAATCGAAGGATGCGACCGGTATGTCCGTCGTTGTGGAAGTGGCCTTCTAACCGTTTCCGTGCAGGTATCCTTTCTTCATGAACCACACCGATGTGGAGTGGCCAGCTGGGGCAAGCGATAACCAGCTGCTGATGCAAGTGCACGACAACGAACTTCTGGAATCGCAGCTGGAGCGGAAGCACAAGAGGAAGTACGACTGGCACAATGATCGGAGTTTTGTGCCAAAGAAGCTTGGTAAGTTTCTCAGACTCGCCATTTAAGTGTTTGATTTAATGTTCTTTTTTCTGAAGCGGCGCTGGCATCTGGAGCATCGGTATCGGATACTGAAGAAGACTTCTGAAGCTGAGTCGTCTCATCTGCGTAGTTAACCCGGGAGTTTATAATTAAGATAGATCTGAGGAGCTTCATCTATTGTGTAATGAGAACCGTACGTATGTACGGCTTTTACTATATGGCTTCAGGAGCAGGAACCGTACATAGGTTTCCACAAAACCGTACATAGTTTCCACATCTGAAGGCCAATATTCGCTGTTTGAAGCTGCTCGGAAGATGGCACTCGAGCTGTCTCACCAAGCAACCAAAGGCAAGTGAGCAAGTGAATGTGGAAGGCTTGAAAGTTGAAACAGGTGCTTGAGATTGAAAATCATGGTCAGCTTCCTGTGCCCTTTAAAATCCGCTGGTTCTACTGGCAACTGCTCATTAATGGACTCCCGCTGACGGAGTGACGACAGAAAGCAGGCATTGCGGATACCATGGATTCTATTTTCTGCGGGACGGCTGACGAAACAATTCAACATCTTTTCATCGACTATCGAGAGCACAAGAAGTGCGGCATGCCATCCCGGCTCTGTGGGACATGCCTCCATCAGTCCAACTTTTGGCAGGGGACTTTCAGATGCAGCAAGTGCCGCTCATAGCCAGACTCACGGTTGTGGCGTTAGTATGCTGGGTAATATGGAGAGCGAGAAACCTCTGGATTTTTCAGGGGAGTTTCCTCATGGTCCAGCAACAGCTACAACTTGGAAATCAGCAACTTGCAATTGGCATGCTCGCCAGCCTCGGCTCCAAACGAAGGTCTCGGGTTTTCCAGGTGTCATTTTTGCGCCACCGTCTCGACAGCTTGTGCAGACACACATACACATCGGAATAGATAGGTTCCGATTGTGGATTCTATTGGGTGAGTTTGGGTGAAGTAGCTAAAGTCCAAAGACTCCAGACGCGCAGGCCCTTTTCTATCCGGGAGCACCAATAAAAAATATAAATCAAAAAAGAAAAACTAAGCCTAGGTTCGGGCAATTCAAACAAAATAAATTAAAACAGCAACAGAACCAAAACATTCACAAACATAAGTTATAAAAACATAAACACACAGAGACTTATGAACTAAATGTATAAAATTTCGCAGTTGTGAGAGATTTTGATTCTGTGCGGCTTTTGTTTCGTCCTGTACTAACTGAATTCTATTCATGAGCAGCAACCTCACCTGGAGCTCCTACATTGTGCATGACAGCCATTTGACAAGTAAACTGATTCTCTTTTGTTCCTGCTTAATTCTGTTTGATGAACAGTTCAACAGTGGAGTATCGAGTGCCCTAGCTTCAGCTTCATGATCACCAGTTTGAGGTGCCCCTGGATTACAGCTCTCTAACAAGGTGTTGTATTTCGATTTTTGCCCAAGAATTTGTTTCGGGTATGTTAGCAACATCCGTTGTTTATCTGAAAGCACAAATTTGCAGCCGGGAATGAGGAGAAGGAACTGCCTTATCTGTTGTTTCTCCAAGGACGACTTGACTTTAAGTCCTTGCGACCACTTGAATGCAGTGGATGGCTGAAAGAGCCTGCAAAGACTACTGAGTGATTTTGTTAGACTAGGTTTTGTATCCTTGAGCCAACTTCCTAGTCTAAAAGACCAAGTAGTGTACCTTGAGCATTTTCAAGCTGATAATGTTGTCAGATCTGACAATATTATCCTAGAAACACAGATGCTGCTTAGTGCCAAATGGGGAGCAGTGGACTTCATTTATGGACTGTTGTACATATGTCAGTGTGCTCAAGGCCTTGCGACTTTAGCTGCACTACGAGCCGGACGGCAGTTGCAAGCTCGGATTAGAACATGGTCGCAAACGGCTTACTTTATTTTTATGGGAAGTGTGGCAGCGTGACTCACAGACTCTGCCACGGAATTCTAAGAACATGATTTCCTTCAGCATTCTTTTTATTCTTTTTTCCTGTTCCACAAAGCAAAACTCCAACCACAGCCAACCAGAAAAAAAAAGAAAAAAAAAAAAACACCAAACCAAACATATACAGAGACAGAAACATACACTGACGGACACAAACACAGAAAAAGTAAAATTTTAATGATTCTTAGATTCTTATAGTTCCTTACCTAAGGTTCTGGCTTCACCCGAACCAAAAATTAAAAAAAGTCCTGGTGATAGCAAAGAAGTCATTCCTTGCAAGATGGATTAGTAAGTTCCTTTCCCATGAACAAGAGGTTACCAAAGGGAATAATTTGGTGTGGAGGAGGTCATCTATGCATGAGACAGAATTTAGCTCATGCTACGTATATAGATTTTTGTACTACTAAACAAACAGAGCAAGAAACTCCAATGAATATAGCACACTTTATCGATTTTGATGCATTGGGATTCTCTTGTTCTTTGGACTGCACTACTCCACTTGATATATAAGCCATGAGCTACTTGATCATGAGGCTATAGTTGTAAAGAGGTATTTCATACTCTTGTAGGTTAGATTAAGCTGTCTTCAGAACAATAGCTACTCTTAGACATGTTGTAAGGCTAGAGCTAAAGCTATTGCCTCACTTGCATACAGATAAAGTCTAGTTGTTGCTGTAGAGGTTTATATATTTTGAGAGAAAATAATGTCTTAGTTTGTTATTATTTTGACACACAAAACCATTCAATCACTATGTCTTTGATATTGGAGTTGGATGGAAGACACTCTTTGAGATGTTAAAATGTGAAATGCCTCAGCCATAAATGTAAAATTATTATCTGAAAGAATTTGCTCTAGACAGAAATGCTAGAACACCATTTAATTGAGGAGGAAGTATTTAATAGCAGTTGTAGATGCATTAGCAAAAACATTAATTTTCACTCAGCAAATCAAGTAATAGTCGACATGGAAAAGGCCTCATAAAATCAAACACTACCAACTCAAATGAATAGGAAATTATAATTGACTTCAATTGTCCTTTTATAACACGAGAAGGAATATTACATGCATATATTAAATAATATCATGTTACATCTTTGGCTAATGGAAAAACCTACACAACTTTTCAGTCATATGATGATGTCTTATATGTTTGCTTAGAATAGGAGAATTATGGTAAATATGGAGAAAGCGTGGAATAAATATTAAAGGCACTACTAGCTATTGAAGAGGTGTGAAAATTCCTCTTCGCTGAAAATCTACTATTAATAAGAAAACAAAAGAGAAAAGGGCCCAATCTCCAAGGGCTGAGAAGAAGCATGAGTAAGAGAATGTTGTGTATTGATAAGAAAAATGATGGAATGGAGATAGGGATCCACAATTCAGATTCCCCCCCTTTGAAAGGCTAGCGGTTCTAATTGCTAGCATATACTATGTGCTGTGCATAATTTAATCTATGGCTCCGATGCAACTCGGTCGGAGTCCCCTGAGCCTGGGTTTTTGGTTGATACACTCTGCTCCCCTGACAGAACTAGACACCATCCTTGATGCGAACATAGTCAGTCTCCATCTGTAGCGCACGTGGTTTTGACCCTTTATCCTATGGTGATTTACCATAGGATAACACCACGAAGCGGAACCTAAACCCTCTTTGTGCCACGTGTCATATGCCACATGTCCATGCCACGTGTCCATAGGAACCTAAGGTTCAGGGCCTTGGGCCACTGAACGAACGAACGGTGCCAAACTCCCAAGCATAGAGCCAAGGAGTGATAGAACCGAACCACGGAGCAACTCCCGAGCATACAGCCCAAGGAGCGAAGGGACAGGGGCCCGAAGTGACTTGGAACAGTCCTGGAGCAACCAGCATCCCAATGCCAGGACCAGCACGCAAAACGGAGCCAAATGGAGTTTGGCGCTATTTCAGCATACCGGTGGCCTAACGTGAGGATATAGGTACTCCACCAGCTAGCATGGAATGGAACTTGGGCTTAGACCCAAGCCGGACGCAGAACAAGGACAGGCACGCAAGCGGGAGCTAGACTATGCCTCAAGTTGGTCGGCCATGCCCGACCTACCCACTATCCCTACTATACATTTGGCCCAAGCCCCCCCCCCCCCCCCCTTGAGGAACACACGCTTTGGGCTTTCACCCCAAGCCTCCCTTAGTATCAGGAGTTAGTCTCTGGGACAAGCTCAAAACTTACTAAATATGGAATGTCCCTAGATTGCGAATTTGGACACGGGACGAACACCATTGTGTTTAGGACGATCTCTACATTCCGTAGATATGCCAAATGAGCAAATCTGGACACTTTCCATAAATAGCATCTGGGACGAATTAAGACTAACACAAAGGGCATGATAGCGAGGGTGTTTGGCAGACACGGTAAGCTATCATCTAGCGATGTTGAGGGACCAATCTCAATATCGCGGGGGTTCTTGATACTAGCAAGTGCAAGTCAATGACTCAAGTTTCTCAAACCAGGTCAAGTATGCTCAGCAAGAAACACATAGGGTTCCTACCTTATGTTTATCCAATCTAAGTGCATGGTCATTGACCAGTTTCTCAACTAGCTCAAGTGGGAAACTGATAACGGGTCTAGCAATACCGACCTCCTGCCATCGTGGCAGTAAGGTAAGAGTGTCCATAAGGACTAGCCGACAGGTAACTTTCGATACCTGAAGTCACATTCGCGACACTCTCCCCCCCTAAGGAAGATCGACGTCCTTGTCGATGCATACTCGAGTCTAGAATACTGCCAAGGAAACAACTCTCGAAAAAGTTCACGGTACTCACACTATATGAGAAATGCACCAACTTAAATGAGTTAGGGGTAACCTCTTTGTCTAACGCGGATGGGCTACCAGCACAGACACCTTCCGGCCGTCATCGACAAGGAAATGACTAACGGAGTCAGCCACCCTTGTTGCTCTGGGTGTCACCCAGCTACAAAAGTGTGATATGCCCTACCTGCAGAGACATAGAGAGAGAAGCTAGAGGCCCCAACCCTCCTGAGCAAAGAAACCAAACCCGTCGGTAAGGTTTAGATAGACTACTGTAAACAGGCAGTTAGAGTTGTTTACACGGTCATGCCCTTTCAACAAAATAAGGAACATCGACAGAGAGGCGGGTGATATGACCAGTCGACAGTAGCTATCCCATGACTAGAGATTTCAACATGCACACGAAGTGCCAAAGCCAGTCTGCCTATACTGGCCCAAACTCAAAGATCAATA